TTATTATTATTAAATGACCAAGTACTTTGGAATTACAGAATTGAAGGAAACTCCATTTTGACGGGATCTATCACAAAGGCTTTATGTACAGCAGGACCCCTTACCAGGGTTCAATATCTCCTGATTCACTTATCCACAGTCTGAAAATATTTTAACAAGTAGAAGAAAACTCCTAGAAATATACAGTGGGGTCTTGACTTGAGAACTTAATCCGTATTGGAAGGCGGTTCTCAAGTCAAAAAGTCTGTAAGTCAAGTCTCCATTGACCTACAGTGCATTGAAAACCGATTAATCCCGTAACATGCCGTTTTTGTTCCATTTTGGTTTTTTTCTGGTCTGTAAGTCGATTCTCCGGCTGCAAGTCGAATCTAAATTTTGTGGCCAGAGAAGTCTGTAACTCAAAAAGTCTGCAAATCAAGCCGTCTGTAAGTCAAGGGTCCACTGTATACTGTAATTTTAAAGATAGATTTACCAGAAATGGCCACTGGAGAGAGCCAGGGAACCGACTATGTATAGAATTTGTTATACAGTAATCCACATTTTTCAGCATGGGGGAGGCGCTTGGAACTGATCCACTACAGATACAGGGATCCAGTGTGTGTGTGTGTGTGTATATAAAAATTCCAAAAAATCTCATTTTTTTCCAGAAACAAATGGGAAAACCTTTTTCCCCCCAGGAAAAACTCAAAACATCTGGAAATCTCATGTCTCTAGAGAGAACTTAAATACATGAAAGTCACTGAAATCGTTCACTGAAGTCCTCATGTTAGGTGGTTTGATATTACGTTTTTATCAAAGAACAGATTCCACACTCCATTTTAAAAAAAAACAGGCGAAAAAAGGGAAATTCGTTTCCCCCCCCCAATTTTTTTGTTCCTCCCCCCCGGCCTTCTAATCTCGAATCGTTTGGATTAATTAATTTCAATTAATTAATTAATTAATTAAGAGAGGATTAATCCCGAGAAATGTAGTCCCGAAAAAGTAACTTTTCCCAAGCTTCAGGGGGGAAGCCCCGCCCCATTCACCTGTACAGGATGACGTCATAGAGGCACCTCCCTTGGACGTTGAGGGCATGCGCGTAGAGCGCGCGCGGAGCCCCGCCCCCGGCCGGCGTCAGGCGCGTCACGTCATTGGTCAGCAGGCCTTGGAGGAAGGCCTCGGCGTCCGGGCCTTGCAGGCGGAG